ATTAAGTAGATGTAAATGATTAATTTTGACCTGAATCAAATACCTCATCATCATCACGAAGTCAAGTAGGCATTTTGAGTATATTATTGTTTGTTTTTCTTAAGTAAACTTGAATGATCTATTTGTTCTTCAAAAAAAGGCGGACAACTATTCATTCAATTTCATTATTCATTGATTTTTATTTGATTTCTAAAAGAACTTAGTGATCAAAATTATAAAACGGAATTCCATTCGTTTCATTTTTACATCTATCTTCTTTCCCTTTTCATTAAGTAATTACTTTTGTATTGACAAATTTTAGATGAGACTATAATTTATGGATGACCTTTGTGCAACACTGTGGTGACCTTGAAGGTGTCCACCTACTTATCTATTTATTTAAGCACATAAATGTTGGTAAAAAGGGACACCGAGTATATGTGCGCCATACAAGTCACTTGATTTGCGCGTGGGCTGTTATACTGTCCGGATACCCAGACCGAAGCAGGAGGTTTACTTAGGGGGACACACCTGGAGCCTTTGACCTAAATGTTTGATCCATAAGGCAATAGACTGACGTTAGAAAGTGCAGTCTCATGCTAGCCGGCGACCAACAGTTGGTTCATACGCCATTTTTTCCTTAGGATACTTAAGCCCACATGAACCATTGGTTTGAAATGAGGGTTTTCCGACCGCCCCCCTAGATGGACCCTCCGTGTTCACCAAGATGGTTGAAGCGCCAGACATGCTGTTTTCGTCCTATCAATTTAGCAAACAACATCTCTGCCGCGAGAAAGCAGTGAGTAAGATCTCCCTAACAGGCATTCGAGGGTGTCGACCTAGTTACTTGTGTTAAATAAGGGTTATAAACCAGTGTAAGATAATTAAGATTATGATTTGCAGTTGATAGTTAAGGTTAGAAACCAGATTTATGGTTTTTCATCACTACCTGACATTAACTAAAATGCCAAAACGTTATTTGACCCAATGGGTGGGTGAATTTCACACCGAAATCCAAAACCTGTTATCTTAAATCTGATTGGTTCGTCCATAAATTCTAGTTTGACCAATAACATTAGTTCAAATTATACAATATCATATTGTTGTTTATTTCACATCTGCCATTTCATCAGTCAATTAAAGCTAGACTACCATGAAAAACCTGGGAGTATTAGAAGATCGTTTCGTCTTAGTATGAGACTCTTCAACAGTGCGCATCCACGATTCTACCTCATGAGAATCGAACTCATATATCTAAATTAATAATCCCCAAAAAATGATCAAGTTAAGGGGTAAATTATATCGTTTAAAGTTAAACTATATGAACTGTAGGATTGTCAAATAAAATAAAATATTAAAAAAATGCTCATAACTCAAATGGAATGTTAACTTGTTAAATGAAAATTTTAAGATCCATGATCAGAATAAATAAAGGATCAGATAGGATGAGAGAAATAATAGTGCAATTATAAATTTGATCAAATATTTAGTGAAGGACTATATAGTATGAAAAATTAGTAAGACATAATAAAGTGGGATGAATGAGAAGTAAATTAATCATGTATTGAGGAGATTAGTAATGATGATAATAATAATAATATAAAGATTTGTGAATAAAGATAACAGAGAGTTCCAGTGAGAAGCAATGGTCAGTGGAGTTTGATCGGGTTTGTTGTGAGATAGTAACTCACTGAAGACAATGGTGAATGTGTCGGTCAACCTCGTAGATTAGTTGGAGTTGGACACTAACACCATAAGATGCGGGCCAGCTCAATAGTCTAAAAGTTGAGCGTTCGTGCGCAAGACCGGTGGGTTCTGGATTCGAATTTCGTGAGTTGGGATCGTGGATGGATACTGTTGAGGAGTTTCATATTTGAACGAAACGGCCATCCAGTGCTTCCAGGTTTTCTATGGTAGTCTAACTTTAATTGGCTCATGATCTCAACTATTAAAATTACTATAATATCTACAAAAACCCTTTCTGAAAAATACATTTGACTACAAAATTTCGTAAGTACAATAATCAAATTAGGTCATTCAACAGCTAAGATTACTATTGATTAAATGGCTTTGACGTTGGTCAGAGGAGGAGAAGCGGTTGAGCATATTTCTTTTGTACACATAACTCAGTTTTCTTCATTCGGATGTCTACTGCTTCAGTCGTTTGAAGGAATTTAAGTCTGACAAACTTTGACAAAAAATTACCGACCCAATACATAATTGAAAAAAAAAGATTTATACCGGCACTATAACCAATTTGCGCTATTCTCATGCAAATTCTGTAATTTTATGGGTGATTACCATGTATCTATTTGCATAATTAAAAATTATTCATCAATATTGACATGTATGTATATCATCTTCGAATAGAGCCGCTAAATGCCTTGGTACGGCCGAGAGTGGGGAGAGTTCGCTCTCCCTCTTCGAATGCTCTTATATGGCCACGTGCATACAGCCACTATCAGGAAAGTCCTACTCACTGTCTTTTCGCGGCATCACTGTTGTTTACGAAAATGAGAGGACGAAAAGAGAATATCCAGCGCTTTAACCGGGCTGGTGGACACGGAGAGTCCACCTAAGGCAGTTGAGAAACCTTGATTCCAAACCAATAGTCCATATAGTTTCCAGTATCCTGAAGGAACAAATGACATATTCACCAATTATTGGTCACTGGCTACCATGGGACTGCATTTCTTCACGATGCTCTACTCCCTTGTGGACCAGACCTTTAGGTCAAAGGCTCGAAGAGTGACCCTCTAAGAAAACTACCTGTTTCGGTTTGGGCACCCGGACAGTACCTTAGCCTCCACATAAATCGAATGATATATATGGCACATATTTGTTTGTTGCTTCCTTGTACCAATGTCTATGTGTTTAAATAAATAAATAAATCTTTGAATAGAACTATCACTACGAAATGAATCGACCGTTGTTTTTTTTTATTTTGCGAATTCATCTTAATTTGTTTTTTCGCTCTTTTTCGCCTTTCTTGTCTTTATTGTTCTTCTCTTGTTTCACACTTATTCAATATATTCTTCTTATTCATTGATATTATGTTTGGTTGTTTGTTTTTCATCCAGATCTTTCATTGTGAACAGTTTTTTTTGTAGTTTTTCCTTGATTATCATCTCTTTCAAACATTCAAAACTCTTTCATTGTATGTCTAGTTTGTTTCATTTTGTTTATAATGATATTAAATATAAGTGTATATATATAAATGACATAAATATTACATAAACAACTTATGATTAATTTTAATAGTTAAATTCATGACACGATCTAAACTTGACCATCATTGAAAATCTGGAAACATTAAACGTCCGTGAACCCGGGTTTCGTGCTACTTGGCACTCGTCAGCAAGGTGTACCTATAATCTTGAGGGAACTGGTGCTCCCTGATGGACTCGACTCTGTATCATCCAGCTTCATAGTTAGAAACATTAACACTGAGCTATCCGAACCGCGACTTACCTCCTATAGGACTGAGATGTAATCACAGTTGATAGCGTTCGATCTGTACTAAGAAGAACTTGACTCACATGACATTAATCACCACCTATTGATCAATCAATTGTGAAACAAGACGTTCATTTCATCCTACTATAAGAGTTTATCCATATTCAGTGAAGACAGTTATTTATCTCAGACAATGGATGAAGTGTTACGCATGATCATGAATCGATTGAATCTAGACATTAATACCGTTTGATAATGACTCAGGGGTCTAGAGGTAAAACATTCACATGCGAAAACAAAGGTCCTCGGTTCGAATCCCTATGGTGCGGGATCATGAATATTCACTGTTAAGGAGTTCCGTACTAGGACGGAATGGCTGTCTAGTGATTTCAGGTTTTCAATAGTGCTCTAGCTTGGATCGATTCATGAATTCAACTAATAAAATTATTTATATTTGCCATGGAAACATTCATTTTGAATGACGATAAGCGTTTGTAACTGTATAATAAAAAATATATTAAAGAGTTTTAAATAAATCAACATAGTTTATGGTATTTTTCTTAACTTAACAGGATCAATTATCATCAGGTTTAATTTATGATACTATAGATCCTCGTCTTATAGCTAACTATCATTAGATAGGCATTCTAAATCTGCATCTACTGGAGTTCGACAACCTGGTGGTTTAAATTGATAGCAGATTATGTTAGACATTAACTCTACAATGCCACTAAGTATCTGAAATTCAAACTATGTAAACTATTGGATTCGAAATCTTGCTCAAAATCAGTCCAATTTAGAAGTAGTAATAGTGAATTGTTGAAGATCTCAACAGTTATTCAGTATTGCTAATTTTGAATAGTTCTTCTATTGATGTCATTCTATGATAAGTGATATGATGGAAAGAAGAAGCAATTTTAGATTGATTTGCTAATTATGAGTTTTGGTTCGACATTACTTCCATTCTGATTCAATGTGATGACCATTCAGTGTAGTATTCGTTTTTGTTTCCCCGTATGATATTTCATTCTGTATAATATACGATATTTCAATAGTTGAAATCATCAATCAATTGAAGCTAGACCACCATGGAAAACCTAGAAGCACTGGACGGCCTTTTCGTCCTAGTATGGGGCTTCTCAGCAGTCCCGCCCCCCCCTCCGCGAGATTCAAACCTAGGACGATATTCTTGTATTCAATTGACATGAACTATGCTGAGTATGTGATTTCTCATATATGTGATTTCATTCTAATTATTATTCAAAATGGGTGTACAATGAGTATATTTTCCACCAAGGTCGTCGTCGTCGTATTTTGGTGGTCAATAAATCACTTATACCAGTCTTTGTGTTCTTACTTTCGCATCATGGGAATTGCAGAGGTCCCTCGTTTCGAGTATAAGTGATAAGAGTTTCCGACATAACAATCAGCGATGACCAGATATAACAAGCAGCATTCAACTGACAAATTATAACAACAAGAACTAAGATTTTTGTATTCTTTCTTCATATTTCTTTAATAAATTAATTAACTCATTCATTATTTCTATAATATTTATATCATAGAATGAAAATACAGCTAAACTAGCTGGTGTATCTTTATCACTTGATGGTTTACAAGAGACAACTACACGTGCAAATAATCAAAATGTGGAAAATATCAATTCAGATGAAGATCATGGATTATTAGTTGTATCAGCTGAAAATGTTGTACGTAAACCTAGTCCAACAGCTGATGCTTTAGGCTCAGCTGAAGTAAGTCTTCATTATATAAACTTTTTAAGAAAATATATACTTCCTTCTTTTTCAAAGCTATTTGAATTATCTGGTATTACGGAGGAGGAGTATTAAAACAGGAAATATATAATAGTGCTGAATCTAAGTGATTAGTTTGTTTATGAACAATTCAAAGGTGTCTTTCATTGTTGATTCATCAAAGAAACTGGTTTTAACTGTTACTATCGGGCCAGAATAGAAAGATTATGACTAGCAGTTACATCCTAAGTGAGATTCTTCAGATGCATACACATGCATTCTAGTATTGTAGTTCATGATAAGATTTGAACTCAATTCATTTTACTTGAAGATAAACGCAACGACCAAAGAACTAGATAAATGTTCCTTCGCATATTTCTCATTAGAACGTTGCGTGAGGAAAATAATGGTCTTCATTACTTTATATCTCGTTAACACTGAATTGCATATTTCAGTCAATCAGTCAGCTACAATGTATGATCAAACACATATATGCATCAGTCCAAGTTGCCATACCTCATAAACACAACAAGGTGAATACCGGATTCATAGAAGTAGTTACATCAATGAAAGCAATATATAAAAGAAAGATTACATATAAGGATATAGTACAGGAAGAAAGAATTAGTTAGTAGAAAGAAAGATATGAAATAATTTTAGTCTCATAGTTTAAAGGAAAACAAAGAATGTATACATCGACGCCATTGTGATTGATTCTGTGCCATGTCACCAAGAGTCTCCAACGATTGGATTACGATGGTCACATGCAACTCAACCAAGTAGTCTTAAGGTAACTCTTAAATTTAACTATATGACTTTACTTAACCTACCCTATACTTTAATAGTTTACTTCTTACATGTATGAACATAAATTATGCACTTATCAAAATGTCACTTACTTTACTTACATTACCAGCCTAATTGAACAACTCTGTAAAGTGAATATGTAAATCGAATAATACTGAACTTAATTCCATAAGTCCATGAACAATCTACAATATTTTTATCAATCATATCAAACTGTTGATCATATATCCCTTATAGTTCATATAAATACAAATATAGTTAACTATTTAGATTACTTCAATTCATGAACTTGAAATGAATCGAGCCTGAAGGCCTTGGATTCGAATCTCACGAGTGAGATCGTGGGTGCGCACTATTGAGGAGTCCCACAATAGGACAAAACGACCATCTAGTGCTTCCAGGTTTCCAACGGTAGTCTAACATTAGTCGGTTCATGATCTCAATCAAAAACTGAATAATCTCCACAACCCCTATACTGAGATAAATTTATATGACTGATTGCATAATCAAGAAATGCAATCAATATAAACTTCACTTTACAAGTTCAAATCAGCTTATAGTTGAAGTTACTTTTAACAGTGTTCATCAATTTATATACAGAAGGTACTCGTCACCGAAAGAAAGTAATCATTCTTTGACATAATAATAATTATGATTACAATTAAATTGTTTTATCTGTTACGTAATTTCATTTTTATCCGTTAATTGGCTCACATACGATAAGTCCATGTAAGTTAATATGTGATTATGTAACCACCAGTTTTTGATCATTATTATGTTATGTGACTAGATTACAATTGATTGATCACTGGGTGATGATCAATCTCATGTGTGTGTCAAGGCCTTATTTAGTGCAAATCGAATGCTATCGACCATGTTGCAATGTGGTCACCAGGCTAGGTGAATCGACATTGCGTGCATTATGTTGAGATAAAATGGTGGTCGGAGGTAATCAACAGGAAACCTTGGATCCGGGTTTCCTGCTACTTGGCGCTCATCAGCAAGGTGTACCTGTAATCTTCAGGAAACTGATGCTCCCTGACGGATTCGATCCCGTGTCACCCAGTTTCACAGTCAGAGACGTTACTACTGAGCTATCCGGACCGCTAATTTTGCATCATCGATGAGGCTATAATTTATGAACGAACTAATCAAAATTAAGATAGCATGGTTTGGATTTTGGCATAATATTTATTTATCCATTTGGTCAAATAGCACTTTGGTATTATAGCTAATGTCAGTTCATAATGAAAACATTAAAATTAATTCCTAGCTCTAACATCCAATTATAAATCGTAATCTTAATTCCTCACAGAACTTTATAACCTTGATTTAACCCTAATACGTAGGTGGGCATTCTAAAGGTTATTTTTGTAAAAAAAATACTAGAAAGATGGTGGTTGGAGGTAGTCGACAGGAATCCCTAGACTCAAGTTTCGTGCTACTTGGCACTCGTCAGCAAGGTGTACCTGTAATCTTCAGGGAACTGATGCTCCCTGACGGATCCGATCCCGTGTCACTCAGTTTCACAGTCGCGACCAACCTCCTGTAGGACTGAAATCTATTTACAATTGACTGATCATGTACGTCAGATCCTTCTTAGTGCAGATCAAATCCTATTGTCAACGAGATCGAATCCATCAGGGAGTATCAATTCCTTCAAGATTACATGTACACCTTGCTAACAATTATATGAAGTCAATTAAAAAAAATTATTTCTTCACTCTACAAGCAAGCATGAATAGCGCCTAGCAGTGGAATCCAAGAAGCGCGTTTCATTTTGTTCAGGACTCGTCAGCTGATGTACCTGTATCTCAGAGTTGATGTTCACTCTGAGAATCGAACCTTGTGCTTTTCGCTTCAAATGTCATTGTGTTATCCACTTAGCTACTGAGTCCTGATAGCCACGTACTTGTGCAATGGGGTGAAGGTTTAAATTAACTTGGTATTGTTTATTTATATCTTACCATTGTCATTTAGAACTGCGATTGATCAGTCTCTTATTGGGACATGTGCATACAGTGCGTATCTCATCTGTATTGCCTTAATTCACAAGCTTTATAAGCAAAGAAGATACAAGTAAGCAACATCAACTGAATTCCTTCACTCTATTTATAACCGAACTACCTTTAAAAATGGTCCATCACAGTTCATGGTACCTGTGTGGTTGTGCCACAGGATTGAGCTGTACTATTCAGATTATAGCGTTAAAGCCTGTACGGTGTCTTTTTGCCCTGCTAAACAGGGTTGAGCTGTACTGTTTGGGTTTTTACGTGGAAGTCCGGATGGTGTCTGGTTCTCCTGAAAACTAATGTAAAATTACCCTGGCCCACAAGGGTATATTATATAACTGAACTGTGAACCGTTAAAAAGAATCTTCATTGACTTTTGACTTTATATTTCAGCTCATCTTTATAAATATATAGTTTGTCACCTATTTACATATAAGCATAGAATTAACAAAAACGAAAATACATATTTGATCATCTTACTATCATTAATTCTTTTGGGGCTAATCCGTGTCGAGTAAAGACAGGTATCTATCTAAGTACAATGGTCGTGTAATTTCGTGGATTGTTTGAAGTTAGACATTAACACTGTTGGATGCTGACCAACTTAGTGGTCTAGAGGTTAAGCATTCGCTTGCGAGACCGAAGACCCTGGATTTGAATCCCGCAAGGCAGGATCGTGGACGCGCACTGCTGACGAGTCCCGAAATAGGACAAAACGACCATCCAGTGCTTCCAGGTTTCAAATAGTGGTCTAACATCAATCGGTTCATGATCTCAATCAAAACTATATAATATATCCCGACGAGAATAATGAATAGTAACTGTTGGGATCCATTTATGGATTAATATTATATCATTGTATTGTCGTATAATTGTTAAGTAAATAAATTATTCATATTCGTGTTCCTCTTAATATAAGCTTCATTTTGACACATAGATTATTATTATACGATTTACTATTCTTAAGTTATACGCAGTTAATTAATGACAGTCTCCCATATTTACAGCCACTTTTGGCTAGTTCTTGTACAAATGTTATTTTCCATTTTATGGTACGATGTGGCCTGTTTGGTTTGTATATAAACCCAGTATGTTTGAAATACATGATTCATATCACGAAGGTTGAGGTTCATGTTCTGGACACAATAGGCAGAGCTGCAAAGGAAGAAGGACCGACAAGGACTCTTAACTGCTCGTACGGGTTTATACACCATTGGTCCAGTCGATAAGTCACTGTTCTGTAGTTGGTGGTATCATTACGTAATATATATTAGTAGGGTAAAAGTCCACAAGTTATTTACTGTTTAATGCAGAATTATAGAATACTTTCACAAAATAAAATAAACATATATTATCTAGGTTATTTGCATATCTTTCATCAGCTGTTGCCTCTTAGAAACCCCATCATTCCTTCAATCTTGTTGTTATTACAATTACTCTCTTTTAAATTCCTATTTCCTTCAATTTGATCTTCTCAACGTTCTACTCCCAGACGTTCCACTTCTGACTAGTGTTACATACTATTTATATTTGTCGACATAAATAGCATACACCACATGTACCCTTTGTTCCTTAAGCCTGTTACTCACAATGGAGCATAGGCCACCAATCAACTCTGTCTTGAGCCTTACTTTCCAGTTCTATCCAATTTTTGTCGATTCTTCTTCCTATGTCTGTCTTCCTTTCTCAGCGTAATGTGTTCGTTGGTCTTCCTCTTCTCCTCTGGCCTTCAGGATTCAATGTGAGGATTTGTGTTCTGACGCAGTTCGGTGCTTTCCTCAAAGTGTGTCCTATCCAATTCCAACACCTCTTCCTGACTTCTTCCTCCTCTGGAATGTTGTTTGTTTTCTCACACAGTAGGTTGTTGCTGATAGTGTAGTGTCTTACCAAGAGATCCGAAGTATTTTGTGTAGACAGATGTTAATAAACACCTATATCTTGTAGATGATGGCTTTTGTAGTCCTCCAGGTTTCTATCACATACAGTAGAATTGTCTTGACATTTATATTGAAAATTCTGACTTTGGTGTTGGTTGACAAATAGTTGTTTTGAGTTACAGAGGTTCTTCAATTGTAAATATGCTACTCTTGCTTTCCCGATCTGCGCCTTCACATCTGCATCAGATCCACTGCGTTCAACAACGATGCTGCTCAGATATGTTAGAGATTTTACATCTTCCGAATCTTCTCTATCAAGTGCCATTCGGTTGTTGCATGGTGGGTTGTATTGGAGAATCTTACTTTTTCCTTTGTGTATAATGAGACTTACTATTGCTAGGGCTTCTGCTACATTGGTCATTTTCTCCTGCATTTGTTGTTGCGTATGTGATAGAAAAGCCAGATCATCTACGATGTCTAAATCGTATAGCTGCAACTTAGCTGTCCACTGTATCCCATGCTTCCGCCCTACCCTCCAGATGTTGAAGTCTTCATCAATATACCACTAATCGATTAGCTCATTCCATTCATTGTACTTACTGTTTCAAACAAAATAAGCTTAGTATATACATATACATATATGATTTGAAGGGCGAGACTCTAATTTAGGGACGACCTTTGAACGAATCTTAAATGACCTTGACAATTATTAGCCAATCAGAAGACAGTTAATATAGAGTGAAAATATATTATAAGAAAGTAATGAATTACAGTGGATAGTCTTCTTTTACATGATTTAAAAACTTGTAGAGGTTCGATAACGGTTCAGAAATCCTGAAATCATAATACATGCGGTATAAAAACTCGTCCATGTGGCTCTATAACAGTCGTCCTCTAGAGCCGTGGTATGGTCTTAAAAATTCCTTCAGTCTCGACCACATAGCTTCAATATTATTTGTATGTACGCCGGTTGTAGGATCGACGAAATGGCGTTTGTGCACTACAACATGACGCACATATCCAAGTCTATGTAGGCACCTATAGCCTCGCCAATCATCCGTATATATTGTTGTGCCCAGTTGTACGTATTCCTGTACAATTGGTATGATTGTGTTCGCTTGCCGGTTTCTGACTTTCTGAAAATGTCCCTTTTGTGTTGATCGGTCATAAATTCCAAGTACCTGTCAAGTATATTTACGGAAATGCTACTTACCCATTCTTCCTTGATACTACGTCCCCTATTGTATTTTCGCTTTCTTACTACCGTTTCATCTATCTCCACAATGAATCCTACTCCTCCGAATGATAGGCGTAGACGTGTCATTTTACTTGCACATATGTCACGGTAGTACTCATACCACTGGACTGCTGAAGTTTCAGTAACATCTGCAAACGCCGCAGCCAGTGTTACTGGTGTCTTTATTACCCAATTTGCCACTATTATCATAATCTGCCTTAGTGTCAGACGCGATCGAGCGAAGAAAGTCCCCGTTCGAGCAGACTTTTTTTCCAACTTGAAGGACAATGAAACACAATCTCACCACGGTGTTCTGGACACTTAGCTGCAGTCATTTGACAACCGCATTCGCACGTACAAGTACTTCTCAATAGTCTCATCTCTTGTAGCCTCTCAATAATAACCTCTTCTCTAAAATCCGCTGTAAAGCGATCGTATGTCAGCATCAGGTGTTGAACTTGGCTCCGTGACCTTGAAATTGCTCAAACGCTTCTGATTGGCTCGTCCTTAAATTAGAGTCTCGCCATTTGAAGTCAATTTTACCTTCAACGACTGCAATCAAACGAATCCGTCTAATCAATATCGATTTTTTATTATTGATTTATTATTAAAAAATTTTTTGTTTTGATTTAGGCCTTATTACTTCGTCGTAAGTTAGAAAAACAAGAGTTAAAAGACGATAATAATGATCATGATCCACATTCATTAGCTGATCATAATCCATTAACTAAAATAAATCATTCTAATCAAAATATATCATCTACACAAAAATCATCAATAAATCAATATAATCAATATTCCAAATTTGATAATCCATATCATTTACAAGAAACAAAATCAAAATTTGATCAAACTAAATCCATATCAGATGATTATGACTTAAATAGTATAAAAGATCATTATTATTATTATAATAGTGATCATGAAGGATCATTCAATAGTTCTATATCAAGTGATACATCAATAATATCCAATCATAATAATCATCAATGGTTTCGTACATCATCCTCATATAATTTAACAGCGGATTATCCAAATCGTCAATGGAAACCACGTGGTGTATTAAGGCATCATTTAAATAAATCTTATCCATATGAATATTATAATTCATTAGGACAATTTAATAAAAGGGATAGAATTCAATCGAATAAACATATACATTATTTTTATAATCACAATGATAAAATGTATCCTCTTCATAGAACTCAACATTTATATAATGATCCAAAATCATTTAAAAGTTATACTTATCATGGAAGAATATCACCAAAGCATCAATCAAACCGTTTATTTAATCAATATATCAATAATCAATATCCAATAATATCTTCATCATCTAATAATAATACTAATAATAATCATGATGATGATGATGATGAAAAATATTTAAATAGAATAAAAGCGAATCAACAAAATTATATGAATCAAGTTGTATACCCTAAACCGTATTCCATAAATATAAGAAGTCATAGTACTAGTCCTAAACAATTACATAAATTGAATAGATCTATATATTCATCTAGAAATAAAGAAATCGATTATATTATATCAAAAAGACCGATTCATAAAAGATCTAAATATTATCGTCCATTACCATTAGGAATTGAACATCAACAATGGTCAATTAAAGATAGGGTAATAAAAAAAATAGAAAATCACTTAGAAACTAATTGTTGTCTTGAAGTTTTCTATTGTAAATTACACTCATCAGTATTGGTTTTTGTTGTCGCTGTTGTTGTTGTTGTTGTTGTTGTTGTTGTTGGTTTAAATGCAGTATCAGAAGGGATTTTTTGAATATTGTAGTAATTTTAATAGTTGATTTCATGATTCATTTGAAGCTAGACTAGTGGATGGCTATTTTATCCTATTGTGGGACACTTTATCAGTGAGTAGCCATGAACCTACTCGCAGGATTCGAACCCAGGGCCTTCATTCTCATTCTAGACCACTGGGCTGGTTAGTGTATTAATGTCTAACCTCAACCAATCCATAAAATTGCGTGACCATCTTCCATCATCTGAGGTAGGTACTTGTCCCTATCCGACGTGGACTATCTAGTTTCGAATCTTGTGAGTCAGGATCGTGGGTGCGCATTGTTGAGGAGCCACACAATAAGACGAAACGACCATTCAGTACTTTCAGGTTTTCCATGATGGTCTAGCTTCAAATGATTCATGATTTCAACTATTAAGATTATTCCATGGTTAATTAGAGAAACACAATTGAGTTGCATCTATATTTTTTCACAATGATTCTCATTTGTTACTATATGATACTTTTATTTTAAGTAACAATATATAAGTTTATAACAACTCAAAATGATCGTCCAGTGCTTCCAGGTTTTCAATAATGTTCTAATATTGATCAGTTGATGATCTTAATTACAATTATTTAGTTACTTACGCCTTTTACTCCCAATGGAGCATAGGCCACTAATCAGCGTTCTCCAACTCACTCTGTCCTTATCAGTTCTATCCAAATTTTGTTCACTCTTTTTATATTTGTCTCCATTTCTCGGGGTTATGTGTTGTTTGGTCTTCCTCTATTCCTTTAGCCTTAAGGATTCCATATTTAACGGCTTGTGTTGTGACGTAGTAGGGTGCTTTCCTCAATATGTGTCCTATCCATTTTCAGCGCTTTTTACATTTTACTGTTGTTGTACTTGTGCACATGACATTTTTATTCATGTTAATAATATCACATGCATGTCTGTTAGATGTGTCTAATGAATTTACAACATTCTGTTACCCAGTTTATGCATGATTTATCTGATTTCTTTATCCATATTTCTTTTTTCAAACAAACAGTATTATTCTGGCCATGTTAATCCTCATGAAAATCTCTCATTACCGGAAATTCGTAAGTATATACTATTTCATGTTGTCAATTGTGTATGTTTGTAATGCTTATATTACATCAAGTTCAGATATATGAGTATGATTGGAATCGAATCTCGCGTGGTGGGATCAAGGATGTGCATTGCTGAGGAGTCCTTTACTAAGACGAAACAGACATCTAGTGCTTGAAAAGTTTTCCATGATGGTCTAACTTTAATTGACTGATGAATTCAACTCTGTAAATGACTTAAAAAAGAATAATAATCATTAATAATAAACACCATAACCATGATCTAGACTCGATGGGCTTAAACACCAATATAGCGTTAAAGTGTTTTTTTTAATTTTGAAGACATTTTTCTTGTATTAGATTATTGCACATTCTAAGATATTACTACTGAATTTTATGAGTGCGGTGTGAGCTACTTAATCCACATAAGTAGTATATAACGATGGAATGTATTTCAGTTGATCGATAAGGAAAGAACAGAAACCGAAGGCAATTAGTATGAAAAAGTAGGAACAACGAAATCTGAGACAATGGATTGATATTTCCAAAAGGAACAGCCAAATTTGAGACAATGGATTGATATAAATTGAGTATTTACTGTATGGTTCTCAGACTTCAGTGAGATATTCTGAAATCTCGTGTCCATATATTCATATTCGACACGCACTCAACACGTTCACTTCATCTCATTATCAGAATTCAATATATTGTCTTTGGTAATTTTGATCCTCTTAATTACCCTGATAAAAATTCTGACAAGTTTGCTGAACAAAACATTGGATAATGCTAATTACTAATTATTTAATGATTAAACTCATAGAAGATATGCTCATAAAGGATTTAACAGTTAAATTCATGAATAAATTAAAACTAGATTGCCATTGAAAATCCTAGAACACTGAACAGTCGTTTTGTCCTAGTATGGAACTCCTCGGCAGTGTGCATTCATGACACCACTCTAGGGATTCATACTCAGGATCTTCGGTCATTCGTTCGAGTGCTTAACTTCTAGACCACTGAGCAAGCATCCAACGGTGTTATTGCCTAACTTCAACTAATCCAAGAAATTTCATCACCGTCTACCATCTTCTTCATCAAGTTACTGTCCACAACAGATCCGGTTGGTTAACTGACGTTCTCCTGAAGATCTTGATCACTCTTTCACCGCCTTACATTACGAGTTATAAAATTATCTTATACTTTGTATTCTTTAAATTCATTCTTCCTTTTTGAATCACATAATCTACACAGTGTTTCTTACTACCAACTGGAACTGTTACTACTACTCCTATTACTGTGCCATATATCTTAATAACTTCATCTCACTGTACTGATATTATGTGAAAACGTGGACTAATGTACATGTGTATCAGGTTCTATTTAGATTGTAACCAATAGAGTTTTGATATGCAATTAAGTAATATGGTTTTATTTCATCGACTATTATCTTGTAATTATAAAAGATTAACCCGTCATTCATAGTTTCAAATAACGTATATGAATAAAACTAAAGTAAAGAAAATATCATAAAATAGTCGTATATTGCATGAATGATTAACAAAGATCTAATGTAGCTAACAATGTAGTCCAGGATGGGCATTTCGTCTTAGTTGGGACTCGTCAGCTGGATATATCTGTATTTCAGAGTTGATATTCACTCTGGGATTCTAACCTAGTACTGTTGAGTTCCAAACTCCGTCACGTTATCCACATATCTATTGAGTCCTGATAACGAGGTACTAGTGTAATGGGGTGACGTTTTAAATTCACTTGGTATTGTTTGTTTTGATCTTCCGATTGTTATTTAAGACTGCGATTGATCAGTCTCTTATTGTTATATGTGCACTCCGTACGGATTACCTTGATATACCTTTAAGCCATAAACTTTTTAAGCAAAGATGGATAATAGCCAGCAGTGGAATCCAGGACCCACGTTTCGTCCTGTATGTACCTGTATCTGTCTCGACGTGCGATGTTCAATAGTATAAGAGTAGATTGGAAGAAAAGTAGGGGCCGCCACACCAAAACATGACACAAATTCATGAAATCGTTGACAAGTGGATTGAGTCGTTTTGGTAGGTCTAGACTATCTGGTTGGGATCCACGAGATGACAGCGACCGATGGTTAGAGACCTTGAATGACGTGACTGAAAATCGTTCGCAATGGTGCAGGTGCATCCACTCTTTGTGTTCTCCCAAATGCTAATCTTCTGAATTCTCCTTGTCTCTTTTTTTCTCTTTCCAAATTTATTTCACCGGATTATACTCCTTGAATAACATCTCGAAGCCCTAATCTTTCAGATTACTGCTTATACTTTAACTACCTCTACCACAATGGTATTTGAATTAACAATTGTATGTGTGTGCTAATATGGTATGACAACTCGAACTGATGTACATACCTACGACGTTCTACGTTGTTACTGATTGACTGAGACCGCCATTGAAAACCTGGAACCACTGAACGGCCGGTTCGTCTTAGTATGGGACTTAGCAGTATGCATCCACATTCCCGCACACGAGAACTGAAATCAGGACCTTCGGTCTGGACTCCTGAATTCAACTATTAAAAGCTAGTGCAATATCCACATGATCCCATTCTGACAATAATCATGTGCTCACTAGTGAATGACTTCATGGGGTATTTCCTGGAACTCTAGTGGGAAGCTGTGGCCAATAGACTTCAACCGTATCTGTTGTAGAGGCTGTTACTCACTGAAAACAATGGTGAGGGGTGGTACAATATCGTAGATTGTTTGAATTTAGAAATTAACACCATTGAATGCCGGTCGCCTCAGTGGTCTAGACGTTAAGCGTTCATCTGCCAGATTGAAAGTCCTGGGTTTTAGTCTCACGTGCATGATCGTGGATGATCACTGCTGAGGAGTCCCATACTAAGACAAAACAGCTGTTTAATGCTTCCAGGTTTTCCATAGTAGTCTACATTTAATTGATTCATGAATTCAATTATTAAAAACTATTATCCAAATATTCATAACGCTAAAAATACCAAAAAAATTCAGTGAAACGATCTCATTATTTTTCTATGAAATGATTATCAAATTGTATAACTGTATATGTGGAATTGCTTAAGACATTGTTTTTATCTTTAGGAAACATTTATGAATAGAAGTCAAGAGAATAGGAAACTATAAACTAGGCGTCATATGCAAATACTACGTATATATTTCGAGATGGAGAGAGGACTGTCCCCACTCTCAACAGTACCAGGTCACTTGTGGCCAATTATAATTTAAAGACAAAGATAGAATACTTATTTTGCATGCACAATTCAATCTCTATCGATTAGTTATTATTATCATTTAAATACACAGAGATTGGTTTAAGGAGGCACCAAACATATATACGCCACACTTCGTCATCCAATTTGTGTGACAACTGGAATACTACTCAGACGCCTAATCTGAAGCAGATGGTTTCCCTAAAGGGCTGCGCCCAGAACCTTTGACCTCGAGGTCTTATCCACAAGGTAGTGGATCAACGTTGAGGGACGTAGTCTCGTGGTAACCGGTGACCAACAATAGATTCATACGCCTTTTATTCCTTCAGGGTCTTGGAGCCCATGTGTACCATTGGTTTGAAATCGTTTTTTTAACTCCACTAGATAAACCCTTCATGTCCATCAATCCGGTCAAAGAGCCAAATATTCGCTTTTCATTCTCTGAATTTCATAAATAATACTCCTACGACGAGAAGGCAGTAAGTAGGACTTCCATGATATAGATTGTATACGTGAGGCTATGTAAGAAGGAGAACGAAACCTCCCCACATTCAACCATACCAGGGTATTCTAGGTCAACCTTCATCTCATGATCACTTAAAAGTTTCCGTTCTTTTTAATAGCTAAAGACTAAGAAAACAACCCTAGATTTTGGATGAATTAAATTCATGTTAACAGAGTAATTACAATCAGTTAAATATTCACCTTTATAAAATTAAGCTGAAATATACTCTCGAATGTTTGTACAAATTGACTTATACCATATAATTTCATGTTTGTATTTGATTGCATAACTTGATATTAAATTCAATTAGGGTACAGATCAGTAATACATTAGATATATTGTTGAGTTAAACATTTGTATTTTTGTACCATAAACTGACTTTAACTAGATAACTATTAAAAGTTAGGAGACACTGAAGAGTTGTTTCCTTCTAATAAAAGATGTTTTCAGCACATCAGTCACTCTCAGTTCTCATTGTCTTTTCTTCTATCTCCTGAGGATTCTTTCTCCAGGCATTTCATTTTCGATTGATGATACATACTACTTATATCTGTCAACATCAGGTAAAATCCGACTCACACGTCCGCGTCGTGCCTCCTGGATAATGAGACGAATGACCCATGAACTAACGTGAGCGGCATCCCGGGTGGTGGAGATCGGGCTAATCACCCACTCTTACCTATACCCACCAAATGATTACGAACTCCACAGATAAACATAGCACAACTATATTTGGTATGGAAAAAGACAAAAAGTTTTCTCGAAAGTGGTGCATGTATCATAAGGAGTTACTAGGCTTCATCAACTTGTTTGGCTGGAAGGGGGGAAGAGGGGCAGGGGGGCATCAGTAGCACACAACACAATATTATAGTATTCAAAAGAGAAACTGTCACACAATTATTTTCGTCATCAGTCATCGCTCATATAAGCAATACTTTTTTTCAGATAATAAACACTTATGATTAGTAATTTGGACCACTCATCATAGTTGAACGGTAGAGTTCAGAATCTTTAGCTATGTAGAATTCCAAATGAAATAGATTTTTATACTAATAGTTTTTACTACCCATGACGCTCTTGAAGACCTAATATAAACTATTTCATTCATTTACCACCATACTTTGATGTTGTGTTCCCGGTGAGTCCAATTTAGCTGCAGTAGTCCTAGTGGAATTGCCAGGTAGTTGAAAGTTGGTAAAATTATGTGGGAAGATGAGCGAGTTTATTCACATTAATGGATTATTAGTACCGTCTTTAGTCATGTCACCAAGCTATCGTTTGATTAGGTATACCTTGTGAAAATTCGAGAGAAGTATGTGAAATCAGTTGATGAAATGGCAAACTATTCAATTAGTTTATCCAAGACTCAAGCTAGAGATGGACATTGATCATAATATAGACAATTTTCTAGCCTCCTTTCTTTGATGACTACTAAATGAGCTATGATTGCGTTAGCTGACATATCATTGAAGAATGCAGTTCTCTTATGATAAAGACATGTGGTTATACATTTTTATGAGAAATATTTCTGCAGTTGTCCCTTAAGTTCCCATCTCTGAAATGACTTCAGTTATATAGTAACCAAGATAAGACTACCTCTCTTCATTTTTCATTTGAATGAGAACAAGCCCAATTCGTGATGGCATTCGCAGTTAACGGCTCAACTCATTGTGTCTAAGACAATCTGAATAAACCTATTGAAGATGAAGCTGATCAGATGTTACATAGATAAAATTAAAATATTTTACGCAATGTTTTATCAGTTTTTCTATATATAACTGATCCCTTATAAAGTGAATAATAATTGATGCATTAGGCTGGAAATTGTCTAAAAAGTCATTTTCAAATCAATATTTATTTATTTATTTTCTATTACTCAGAAATAACACGGAATAGTAGCTTATCAGACAATGAACCTCAATTCCAAGCAAATGATCACTATCAACAACAGTCACGATATTCCTACCAGGATTTTCGTGGACCAACTAGACCTATTCGATCTCGTTTTATGGATACCAGACGACATGGTTCATATGATCCACAGATGAGCGTTTCTAACTTCTCAACAACACGTCATGATCCTGATTATCCACGTCCTGTAATACCATCAGATACATATACATCTGGACCGAAGAGACCGTTTCATTATAACATACCGTCACCAGCATCCGGTCCTATACCTCAACATGAATACAGACCTTCATTTAATCAAGTCAACATGAAAAACTGTAGATCAGGCGATCAAGGAAATGGTTTAAGACAAACAGTCGGATCACAATATTCACGATCAAGTAAATCATTTGTACAAAATGAACAACAATATGGCAGAAATCAAAGAAGTAAGAATTATTATTACCCATTTTAATTATTTAAACTCAATGACACAGCAATTTATTCTTGAAAATTTTAGATATCCTATCAATCTTTTAACAAGTGAACTTTTATAATTTGATCCGATATTATATGTGATCACAATCTACCATTGTTTAGTTATGCATTCATAAAAAAATGTCTGAAATATCCAGACTTCGTTTTCTGATGAGGAGTCCCACAATGGGACGAAACGGCGGTCTAGTGTTCCCAGGTTTTCTATGGTGGCCTAGCTTCTATTGACTTATGATCTCAACTACTGACACTGGAATAGTTGGTAATGTAGTTCAAGCACTTAAACATTTTATACACCTTATACTTTCTTCTATTGATTTAGCAGTTTATCTAAGCTCATCAGAATGGCAATCAATCTAAACAGTTACTTATCATGAGCAAATTAAACATGGTATCATTAGATAAACATTAATGACTACTTACTAACAACGATACTGAATTTACTATCAGTGTTTTATTGAATTACTACAACACTTCGGAAGTGTGGTAGAAGTTAATCATTTTGTGTGAACAGTGATACATATGTCTATATATATTGCCTGTGGGGATATGTGATCACATTGTGATCAGAAATCTGTATGAGTAATGACAAATTATACACTTCGACACTTACGCCCGTTACCCCTTATGAAGAATCATAGGCTGCCTCCAATTCACGATACCATGTGTTCTTTGGTCTGTCTTTTTTTATTTTGCCTTCGAAATTTCAAGTTAGCGCTTGCCTCGCAATGCAATTTGATCATTTTATCAGTGTGCCCCTTATCCAACTCCAAAGTCTTTTCCTAATTTCTTCCTCAGTTGGAAGTTGGTTTATTCTTTCCTATAGTACGATGTTGCTGATAGTATCCAGCCAACGAACATTAAGTATCTTACGTAGACAATTGTTTGTAAATACTTGTACCCTTTTGATAGTGGTTGCAGTAGTCCTTTAAGTTTCAGCTCCATACAGTAGAACTGTTTTGACATTCGCATTGAAGATTCTGGTTTTCATATTCGTTGACAGTTATTTCGAATTCCCTATGTTCTTCAACTGTATGAATGCGTTCCTTGCTTTGCAAATTCTCACCTTTAAGTTTGCAACAGATTCTTTGCGTTTATCAATGATGCTACCCAAATACGGTTCCTTCATTCCTGTTGTTATCTTGATTGCTTTCCGTTTCCATCTTTCTTCTCTTCATTTACATCTTCTAAACCTTGTGCTCTCAAACATTCCACTTCCGACTAATGTTACATACTACTTATATCTATAAACATAAGTAGCATACACCAAAAGCACATTTACACTTAAATATACAAGTTAATTTGCTTTGAATAGACAGTAAATTTGACTGATTTTACGTAATTTATTGGTGTATTTCATCAACGTTTAATCTTTAAAATTATGGGGATATATAAAGCTTAACGTCCACTTAATATAACCGTAAGTATATTCACTTTAGTGAAATGTTTCTACAGAACCTTCAGGTAATGAGATGATTAACAAATCTGTAAAGTTAGACCCATTATAAGCACCTGTCTTCTTTACTACGTTTCCCAAAGAACATTTACAGAACATTAGGACGTACAGGTTAAAACGTATTTATCTCTTTTGAGTTTTGAAACCTCTTTTTACTTAACATTTATGGCAATACTAAAGATATTCTATATTTAATATTATAATGAACTAAAGGATCAAGACGTATATTTATTGTGAGACTGATAGAACCTAGGTTCGAATCTCGTGAGGTAGGATCGTGGATGCGCACTGTTAAAAGCCCCATACTAGGACGACACGACCTTCCAGTGCTTACAGGTTTTCTATGGTGGTCTAGCTTCAACATACTCATGATCTCGACTATTAAAATTACTATAATATCCACAAAAACCCCTTCTGATACTAATCAACATATCTTCATCAATGACTGACTTCAAGAAGTATTTCCTGTAGTTCTAGTGAGAAGCGGTGATCAGTGAAGTTCAACTGGGTCTGTTGTGAGATATTAACTCACTGAAGACAATGATGGGTGTGTTACTCAATATCGTGAATTCGTTGAAGTTAGACATTAACACCATTGAATGCCGGCCGGCTCAATGGTCTGGAGGTTAAGCGTTCGTGAGCAAGACTGATAGGTTCTGTAATAAAATCTCTTGAGGTGCGCACTAATGAGGAGTCTCACAATAGAATAAAAAACGACCGTCCAGTCCTTCCAGGTTTTCCATAGTGGTCTAGCTTGAATCGACTCATGATTTCAATTATTGAAACTATTATAATATCCGCAAAAACCCCTTCTGGTATATTTATTCAACACTAAAAGAAAACTGTACAGACATTTATTAACAGAGGATCCAGGGTTTGATCTTATATACAAGTGATAGGCGTTAATTTTTGAACAGTTCAAAGTAAGAATGAAATTTCAACGATTCTCATTATATTCACTCGTTGTTGTTTTACTTATATCTTCTCGTTTTTATATAGAACTGCGATTGATCAGTCTCATGTTGGCATATGTGCATCTTGTACGGAATGCCTCGATATAGCCTTAAGTCACAAGCTTTATAATCAAGGATGGATAGTGGCTGGCATTGAAATCCAATAAGCGCGTTTCGTCCTATTAGGGACTTGTCAGCTGGATGTACTTGCACCCAAGAGTTGATGTTCACTCCGGGATGCAGGTACATCCAGATGACGAGTCCCTAATAAGACGAAACGCGCTTTCTGGATTTCACTGCCAGCCACTATCCATCTTTGCTTAAAAAGATACTCATTATACTTTAATCGTAATGGTGCATTTAATTTTACTGTTATACACATTTCCTATTCACTTTAATTTCTATTTAGATATTAATGATGATTATTCAAATCGAATGGGCCATAGTGAATTGAAACCAATACAAGTTGTAGTAGCCCTGTATGATTATGATCCAACTACTATGTCACCAAATATTGATGGTGCACAAGAAGAATTACCATTTCGAGAAGGACAACTTATCAAGGTTGGTTAAATTATTTTTTTATCATAAGGGATTTTGTGGAGATTTTAGTAATTTCAATAGTTGAAATCATGAGTCAACTCAAGCTAGACCACCATGAAAAACGTGAAAGCACTGGACGGCCTTTTCGTCTCATTATGGGGCTCCTCAACAAGGCGCATTCATGATCCCGCACCCAGCGAGGTTCGAACCCAGGACCTATTAGTCTCACGTGCAAGCGCTTAACCACTAGATCACTGAGCTGGCCGGCATCCAACGGTGTTAATATTCCATACTAGACGAAAAAACCGTCCAATGCTTCCAGGTTTTTCATGGTGGTCTAGCTTCAATTGACTAATGATTTCAACTATTGAAATTATTTTTTGTCTAATAATAAACACATATTAATTGATTTTGTTTCATTATGAATATTTTGAGTTAAAAAACAGTTAAATCAATTAGTTGCGTAATGAAGGAAGATTAAACTTATACAGGAACATTTTTTGTTGATTGACGAATAATAATCCTTACAGTTGCCAAGTTAACGAAAAAATCTAAGTAATTGTGGTGTATGCTACTTATGTTTATAGATATAAGTAGCATGTAACGCCAGTCGGAAGTGGAATGTTTGAGAGCACAAGGTTTAGAAGATGTAAATGAAGAGAAAGAAGGTGACTAAAGGTAATCAAGATAACAACAGGAATGGAGGAACAATGAAGCTAGTAAGAGATAATTCAAAGAAAATGTGCAAGTGGTGTATTTGATGTATGATTTTCACATTGTACTAGACCACCTGAATTCTCGTTCAAGCAAATAAATAATTCACTTAATCATTATCAGCCAGCTCAGATGTATATCACTTTTTTCTTATGATTTAGTGATAATTAGTCATCTGTCCGCTCGACCGCTCACATTGGTTGTACATTGAGAAATGGATCTCCTAGACATTGATATAAATTTGGTTTATTTAATCCGTGCTGCAAGGGTTGAATAATCACTTGGTTGTAGATTAACTGAAAAAAACGGCTAACGAAACAAGACTGACAAATGACAACACTAAAAGTAGTTATGACGACCAGTCAGAAACAAGATCTTTAGGACGAACTAATTTAAAACCTTTGAAATAAACAAAGTACTCATTTCTACTCGAAATAAGGTTTGATGCTAGTTTTTGATTGAGATCATGAACCGGTCAATGTTATACCACCATTAGAAACCTGGGAGCATTAGATGTCCGCTTCTTCCTGTCAGGTAGAGACAGGTATCTACTTCACTACAATGGAAGATAGTCACACAATTTCGTGGATTGATTGAAGTTAGACATTAACACCGTTGAATGCTGGCCAGCTCAGTGGTCTACATCTACCATTCTCTGTTCTTGTTCTCTTTTCTTAGATCTTCTTAACCTTCTGCCTCCAGGTATTTCACTTTTGACTGATGATACATATTACTTATATCCGTCAACATCAGTAGCACACACTACAGTATCAGTTTAGGACAATCTTACTCATATGTTACACCATAAAAGGATGCAGTCACATGGTGGTCAGTGGCCAACGATTGGTTCATACGCCATTTGTTCACTCAGGATACTGATTTGGAATCAATGTTGCCCAACTCCGCGTTCATCAACCCAGTTAAAAAGCCAGACATCCGCTTCTCATCCTCTGAATCTCGCAAACAATACCCCTGTCTCGAGAAGGCAGTGAGTATGACTTTACTAGTAGTGGCTGTATACGCGTGGCCATTTGAGAACATTTGAAGAGGGAGAGCAGACTCTCCCTTGGCCGTAACAGAGCTTTGGGGGGCCACTGCTGACCATCTTTAGGATGTAACTTTTCGGCTCTCAATGAAACGTCTTAACCACTGGAGTTCAATCGGTGTCAGATGTGAAACATTTAAATGTCTTATCAATATTCAGTGATCAACAGACACATCTCAATCACATATTTTTTTGAATATACCATAAGCTGTCAGTAACAAATAATATCCGCAAATTAATAACTTATTTGTTTTTAAATGGTTAAGATCATGAGTCAGTTGTAGCTAGACCACCATGGAAAACCTGGAAGCACTGGATGTGGATTGCTGAGGAGTCCCACAATAGGATGAAACGACTAGTCTAGCTTCAACGGAATCATAATCTTAACCATTAAAATTAACATAATATCCACAAAACCCATCTGATATTTGTATTTAACTAATTTTATAATCTATTTAGATTCTTACAGAATGTGATGAAGATGGATTTTATCTTGGTGAATGTAATGGTCTACGTGGATTAGTTCCATCAAATATGGTTTCTGAATTACAATCACATTCATTAAGATCACAAAAAATTAATCATTCAATAGATTCTCATTCAAATCTAATAGATATGAATCAACAATCATCAGATCAACTTAATAAAACTTATTCAACTGATATTAATTTACATGGACAAATGAATTCACCAACTCAAAATTATTATACAACTAAAAAATATGATCCATTAATTTCACATACTAATTCTGTTCCTCGAAATGTAAGTTAAAGTATATTTCTATATACATAGTTATGAAAATATAAATCCTTACATTATTCAATTCACTTGGTGTTATGATACTTGTATCTTTCAATTGTTATTTAAGACTGCAATTGATCAGTCTCTTGTTGGTATATATGCATCCTGTTCGGATTGGCTTGATATAGCCTTAAGTGACAAGCCTTTTAAGCAAACATGGATAGTCTCTAGCTGTGGAATCCAGGACATGCGTTTCTTCCTATTTGGGACCCGTCAGCTGAAGTGAACAGTACTGGGTCCGAGTCCCAAAGTGAACATCAACTCTAAAATGCAAGTACCTCCAGCTGACGAGTCCCAAATAGGATGAAACGCGCATTATGAATTTCACTGTTAGCCACTTTCTATCTTTCCTTATAATATTAGTTGTATTATTGTAACCATTATAGATAATATTTTTTAGTGATTTTTTTGCTTACATTCACTAACAATCAGTTCATTAATGTGGTTTGTTTTATACCAAACAATCAATCAGAATCATTAAAAGATCCATTTAGTAACTCATGTAATAATAATTCATTGAAATACAAGATCATAATGCATAGGAAGGAAAAGAATTTTAATCTCAGTATTTACATAACTAGAATGATAAAAATGTATAGTTAAGTAATTGGTTAATGTTTAGTGAACTGTACTTTCTAAATCAAAGCTAGACCGCCATAGAAAGCCTAGAAGGCCGTTTCGTCCTAGTATGCGACTCCTCAGCAAGGCTCATCAACGATTTCAAATCGCGAGATTCGAATCCAGAACATATCGGACTAGCATGCGAAAGCTTAATCTATAGACCACTGAGTTGACATCCAACGGTGTTAATATCTAACTTCAACCAATACACGAAATTGCTCCACCCTCCACCGTTGTCTTCAGTGATTTACTATCTCACAGCAAACTCAGTTTAAATTCTATGTTTTATGAATACATTTAGATTACATACAAGCTGATCCTTCTACAAAAAAATATAATAACTACCTGAATTTCAAATTTTTTTTCCAGTTTTCTTGTTGACACAATTTATCCTTGCAAGGTCTCTCAATCCTCAATGAGGAGAGTGATGAAATATCTTTGATAATTACATTATAATACGCTTAGACTGAAGTTCCTAAGTGTGAGTCCCTTCGTTTAAGGATCGTAGGTGAGCTTTTCTAAGGAGTCCTATACGTGGATGAATGGTCGCGCGGCCATTCATGGAGCAATTGAAGGTAGACATTAACACCGTTAGATGCCTGCTCAGTGGTTTAGAAGTTATGAGTTCGAGCGCGAGACCTAAGATCCTGTGTTCAAGTCCCTTTAGTGCAAGATCGTGGATGCGCATTGCTGGAGAGTTCTATACTAGGACTAAAAGGTTTTAAGGCAGTGCTTTCAGATTTTAAAAGGTTTTCTAGCTCAGATCGACTCATGAATTCATCTACAATCTTCACAAACCCCCATTCTAATAATATTCTTCACTTATTTATATATACTGTAGTTCATGGTTAAATATGGATATGTACTATCTAGAAATACTAAATTAAAATGAAATATACAGGCATGGCTCGTATGGTTTTCGATGAACCTCCAGTTATAATCAGTCAGAGGATGATATATATCATCAGAATATAGTTTTAACCAAATTATACATGATATTTAGGTACATATTTTTAACAGTTGAGATTATGAGTCAACTGAAGCTAGACCACCATAGAAAACATGAAAGCACTGAACGACCGATTCGTCCTATTGTGGGACTCCTCAACAGTGCGTATCCACGATCCCACTCAGGGGATTCGAACGTAGGATCTATCGTTTCATTAATCTCTAATCAAACCATCTATTTTACATTAAATACATACAAATTTATTAGTTTCGTTCATGAGTCAATTGAAGCTAGATTACCATGGAAAACTTGGAAGCATTGGAGATCCATTGCGTCCTAGTAAAAGAATCCTTAGTTCAATGCTCATAGGTTTTCTATGATGGTCTAGCTTCAATTGACTCATAATCTCAACTATTGAAATTATTACAGTCTCCACAAAACCCCTTTTGATACACATTTTTAAATTGAATTGGATAAGCAGAATTTCTTGAAATTATTCATTCACTACTATTAAAGTAAATTCTTTTATGAATTTAATGCTCATCTTGTTGTACTAGTAAGGTAATGGCAACATGAACCTGTAATGGCTTTGCTTGGTTAATCGATCACCTCGATAATTCATCAAGTAAGTTAATCAACAGACTTACTTACTTACAACTGTTACATATCGTGGAGGAGCATAGGCTGTTCACCATCACTCTCTATCCAACCCTGTACTGGGCAGTCCTTTCCAGTCCGTTCCAGTTGTTATTCATCATTGTCATATCTACTTCTATTCCCAAACGTAATGTGTTCCTAGGCCTTCCTATTCTCCACTTCATTATGGGATTCCAAGTTAGGACTTTTCTCGTGATGCAGTTTGATGATTTGCGTAATGTATTTCCTGTCCACTTCCATCGGCTTTTCTAATTTCCTGTTCAGCTGGAATCTGGTTTGTTCTATCCCAGAGAAGGCTGTTGCTGATGGTACCCGGCCAATGGATGTTGAGTATCTTGCGTAGAGAACAAAACTCCATTAAAATGCGTAGACAACTATTTATAAATACTTGTACCTTCTTGATGATGGTTGTAGTAGTTGTGCAAGTTTCAGTTCCGTACAGTAGAACTGTCTTGACATTCGTATTGAAGATTGTGACTTTGATATTGGCTGAAAGTTGTTTTGAATTCCATATGTTCTTCAAATGTAGGAATGTTGTTGTTGCTTTGCCAATCCTCGGCTTTACGTCTGTATCTGATCCTCCTTGTTCATCGATGATTCTTCTCAGGTATGTGAAGGATTCTACATCTTCCAGAGTTTTGCCATTAAGTGTGATTATGTTGGTGTTCTCCGTGTTGTATTTCAGAATCTTGGTTTTTCTTTTGTATATATTGAGGCCTACAATAGAGCCTAATCAAAATTTAACCACAATCGAAATTGATTGTAGGAATAGTTGCTATAATCCTATATATATATGCCCAGGGGTACGTTCTATCTAACTGATTGATTGATTTTAATATTGATTGTTTATTGATTTATTATTATTGTTATTGAATAATTTTTCTGGTTAGCGTTTTTTTTTTAACGAGTTAGTTTTCTACGAGATAGGATCGCTAACCCCACGCTCAATCCCCCTCCTTTATCCGGGCTTGGGACCGACATTATCCCCAGAGGAGCTCTAGGAGGGGTTATTATTATCAGAGAGTATTTTTGGAGATTTTGGTACTTTCAATAGTTGATGTTAGACACTATCAACGTTGGATGCCGGCTTAGTGGTCTAGTGGGAGGAATCGTGGACGTGCATTGCTGGGGAGTCCCATATCAGAACGAATCGGCCGTTCAATGCTTCCAGGTTTTCCATGGTGGTTTAGCTTCAATCGACTCATGATTTCAACTATTGATATCATTATTATTAATTGTCTTAAAAATAGATTATGTAATTATTATTATTATTTCTTTTATTCATTTATAGATAGATTTTATGAATGAACATTCATATCATCCACAAATGGCAATACCTGATTATACTGAAATAAAAGATTTACAATCTAATGAATTAGAACAAGATCGTAATCTTCATTATTCACAATCTCAAACAAAACATACTACTGCTACTACTACTTCTACTACTGTTACTACTACTATTACTACTACTGAATTAAGTCAAAATACAATGAATCAAATCATACCAAGTAAATTAGAATTAAATGACTTATATTTACTTTTTTATTTTAGATACATTACATCATAAACCACCAATGGAATCAATACAACAACAAATGAATCAACAATCAAAAATTATGATTGCCATTTATGATTATGATCCGCATATATTAAGTCCTAATCCAGATATTGATGTAAGTTGAGAAAGAAATCAACTGTATTGTTATTTTGTCTTATCTGGTTAGCCTTGTTTTTTATATCATCTAGCGAATTAGTTCTCTATAGGATAGGGTTTTTAACCCAATAATCAACCCTTCTCATGTATCCGGACTAGGGACCGACCGTCACTCTAGAGGGGCTTCAGGTGGTAATTAATTTTTCAAATAAGAAGTGAAAGTGAGAATAAATAATCTTTTGTAGTTGTATTATGTCAATTATAAAACTTGGAAGTATTAAATTTATAAGCAAAGATGGATAACGGCTAACAGTGGAATCCAGGAAGAGCGTTTCGTCCTACTAGGGATTCGTCAGCTGGGCGTACCTGCATCTCAGAGTTGACTCAAACCCAGTACCGTACGGTTCATATGTCATCACGTTATCGACTCAGCTACTGAGTCCTGATAGTCACCAGCTTGTGCAATAGGGTGAAGTTTAAATTCCCTTGGTATTGTTTACTTATATCTTCCTACTGATGTTTAGGACTGTAGTTGAACAGTCTCTTATTGGCATATGCACATCCTGTGCGGACTGCCTTGATATAGCCTTAAGTCACAAGCTATATAAGCAAAGATGGATAGTGGCTAGCAGTGGAATCCAGGAAGAGAGTTTCGTCTTATTTAGGACTGGTCAGTTGAGTGTACCTATATGTCAGAGTTGATGTTCAATCCGGGATTTGAACCCAGTATTGTTCGGTTGAAATATCACCGCGTTACCCACTTAGCTACTGATTCCTGATAGCCACTCACTTTTGCAATAAGGTAAAGTTTAAATTCACTTGGTGTTGTTTGTAAATTTTACTGTAATCAACATTTATAGAATTAAATAAACCTTTAGTGGCCCTATATCTAATTCTAGTTACATCATAGGTTGATTGTTATCATTAAATATACATACAATCAACCATTGACTTAATTCAACTTAAGAATGAAGTTTTGAATATGTATATTTCGTACACTTATTGATATAACCAAATAATTAGAGAAACAAAACTAAGAAAACGAAATAAAATGGAACGAAGTGATGCACAGTGTAGAAGGCGAGTAAACGAATTCCATTTCATTAAGCTTGACTTCAATATTTATAGTCAGACTAAAAAAAAATAAGTTCCAGACACGTAATGAATAAACTAAGCCATTCACACATATACATTCATATAAAATCAGTCAAGATTAATAATCAAATAAGTGACAAGGTTGAAGCGTTGCTTGAGAAGAATGAATAAATTGGTCTATCCAAAAGGTAGAATAATCTTATATGAACTTGATATAGTAACAGTCCCATCTACAAACCATTTATTGTTAGGATTTATCTCGGTTACTGTTAACAATTTAATATTACGTTTAAAATATGGGTGAATACTGTATTTATATTTAAATGAAGAAAATTCGTCCTACTGTATAGATTGATATTTTTCTGAATGAATATTAAGAGACCATTATTCAATAATTGATTATTATTATTATCATTAGGTGACTGAAGATTCAATAAAGCTATCAACAGTGTTAGGTATAAAGAAGTTGAACAATTAGATGAAGTGTATACAATCCATGTAATTGCGCAACCATCTTTCATTGTACTGAGATAGATGCCTATCTCTACTTGACATGGATTAGCTCCACTTGTCACGGCTTCGCAATAGAACTCCAAGAATTCCCTCACGAAGCTAGTCACTAATGGGCACATAGTAATTATCAGTATGGAGTTGTGAAGATTGTTAGGATTTTGATTGAGATCATGAATCAATTGGTGTTAGACTACCATTGAAAACCTGGAAGCACTGGACGGCCGTTTCGTTCTACTATGGGACTCCTCGGCAGTGCGCATCCACGACCCCTCTCGTGGGATTCGAACTCAAGGTCTTTAGTCTCTCGCTCGAACGTCCATTCTCTAGACCACCAAGCCGAGTCACGCGATAGGACGAAACGGTTTTTTTGGTGCTTTCAGGTTTTCAGTGGCGGTCTAACATCAATCTGTTCATGAGCTGAATCAAAAAATTCTTGTATTAAGTTAATATGAACTATACTCAGCATATAACTTGTTATAACCCTAAGTATTTTTCATATATGTGATTTCATTTTAATTATTAATCAAAATTGGGTGTATTAATCAATATATAAATGAGTGTATTTTCGACTAGGGTCGTCATCTTCGTCGTAGTCGTCGTAGTGTTTTAGGGGATCAATAAATTTTCACTCATATCAGTCTATGTGTTCTTAACTTCGTGTCATGGAAATTACAGAGGTCCTTCGTTTCAAGTATAAGTAATAATCGTGGCGAGACTCTAATTTGTGGACGAGCCAATCAGAGGCGTTTTAGAGATTTCAAGGTTATGGCGCCAACTTCAGTGCTTGAGGCTAACGTACGATCGGTTCACAAGGAATCTTTTACAAAATGTGATAATTGAGCGGCTGTAACAAATAAAACGGCGAGACTATAATTTGTGGACAAATCAATCAGGTATAGGATAATAGATCTCTGATTTTAACGCGAAAGCCTTTCATCCATTTGGCTAAATAGATTTCTGGCATTATAGCTGATGTCAGTTCGTGATGAAAACCCCATATATAATTCCTAACTAATGCAAATTATGACAATTATTGCTAACTGGATAATAAAAGCACCAGTAACACTGGCTGCAGCCAGGTACTACAAAATATACGGATGTTTGGAGAGCGTACAGACTCCTACATAAGCTTGATTATGTGAATCATTTCGTAATCCACAAGTAGCATTTTGTGCACTCATCAACCGGTGTGCACATAAACACTATTGAAGCTATGTGTTCGAGGCTGAAAGAGTTTTTGAAACTTTATCATGGCTCCAGAGGCCGACTATTCTGTAGCTGTATGGATGATTCCCACTACTGTAGTCATTACGATTTTAGAACCTCTGAACCTCTTTCTAACCTTGACAAGTTTTTGAACCACATATAAGAAGTGTATCCATTTTATTTCCTTAGTTTTATATAACATATTTTGACTCTATACTGACTGTTTACTGATTGGCTAATATTTCTCAAGGTCACCTGAGATTTGTTCAAGGTTGTCCATAAATTAGAGTCGCGTCCGCCCATTCTATTGATTTATTTATTTGGTTGTCTATTTCTATAGGCTGAATTATCCTTTCGAGCAGGTGAACAAATTCTCATTTATGGTAATATGGATGATGATGGATTTTATTATGGTGAAACAAAAGATGGTCGTCGTGGTCTTGTGCCTTCAAATTTTTTAAATTCTTATAATAATGAAATTCATTATTTAAATAAACAAAAAAATTTTACAAATTTACATGATTATGATCAAGATAAAATACAAAATCATAAAGATCAATCATATTCAATGGATCCATTAATTCGAACATCAAATCGAACAAATTCATCACAATTACATAATAATAATACAAATTATGTTAGAAATACGAGATCAGAAGTAAGTGTCTATGACATGATTAGATATTTATATATGAGGATAGAAATATTGGTATATATGAGGGTATCAAATAGATATGCGCTACACAAATGATTCGATTAAGATCATCAACTGTGGTGTTTGAATGAATTAATGATACCTTTGTACTTGTTGAATACTTGGTTTCGAATTCTAAATGCAGTACATTTGTTTGCGGTTGTCTAGTAGTTCTTGATCCGATAACGGTATTTCTGGGATTCTTAGTTCATACTATAATTCAAATACTCCTAATTATCATATCAACTCAGGATACTAGAGCCCATATGTATTATTGGTTTTGGATCAGGGTTTTCCAACTCCTCCAGATGAATCCTTTATATCCACCAATCCAGTTAAACAGCCAGATATTCTCTTTTCGTTCTCTCAATTTCATAAGCAACAGTCCCATCGCTAGAAAGCAGTGAGTAGGACTTCCGTGGTAGTGGTTGTATGCATGTGACCATGTGAAAGTATTTGGAGTGAAAGAGCTGATTCTCCTCAGTCTTGGCCGTAACAAGGCATTTTCGGGGGCGCAGAGATAGCTAAAATTTATTACCCTCATGAATAACATAACGAATAATTAAGTGAAGAAAATTTTACTTACAACCATTTACATTTCTAGAAATTGTGTAATTTTATTTACAGTACAAAATTAATTAAATTTTCAAATAATGTGTGTTAATATGGATGAATATATGGATTGTAATCTAAGGGGGCGGGATCGTGGATGGGCATTGCTGAGGAGTCCCATACTAGGACGAAACGGCTATACAGTGCTTCCAGATTTTTCATGGTGGTCTAGCTTCAATTGACTCATGATTTCAACTATTGAAATCTAAGGAGTGTAAAAATATGTAAAAACCGATTAATAATAGTGAGTGTAGTCGATTTGAAATTGGTAATATCCATAGATTAAACGCAGATGGTTCGGCATTTTAAAACAGGTAGCATTGAATATCTGTTTCATTATATTATGAGAATGTTCGGCAGTACGCATTCGCAAACTCATCAAAAGTCGAATCCAGAACATTCAGGCAAGTGTTTATTTGTTAGACTTCTAGGTTGACATCCGATGGTATACATTTACAGCGTTATGAATCCGTGATTTGGAAACAATCATCGAATGTCATCAATGACTATTTGTTCATTTACGAGATATCTGAAACTATGATTAGAATGAGGTTTGTGGAAATTGTAATGATTTTAATAGTTAAATTCATGAGTCAATGTAAGCTGGATCACCACTGAAAACCTGAGAGCACTGGACGGTCGTTTCTCCTTAGAATAGGACTCTTCAGCAATACGCTTCCACGATCCTGAACGAAATGGATTTGAACCCAGGACCTTTGGTCTCGCGCACAAACACTCAACCTCTAGACCATTAAGCCGGCATCCACCGGTGCTAACGTCTAACTTCAGTCGTCAATGAGTTGTTGCGCAACCATTCATCTGTTATTTGAGGTAGATACCTGTCTCTACTCAACGCGGATTGGACTCCACTGATCAAGGCTTCTTACTAGAACTCCAGGAAATCATCTTAGAGCCAGTCACTAGTGAGCACATGATGATTATGTTCAGAATAGGGTTTGCAGAGATTGCAGTGATTTTAATAGTTGAATAGCTGAGGAATCCCATACAAGGACGAAACGGTCGTTTAGTGCTTCCAGGTTTTCAATGTTGGTCTAGCATACATTGACTCATGAATTCAACTATGTTGATAGACTGTGTTAAGACTTCATCTAAGGTCATAGAATATCAGAAGACTGATTGAATCTCTGTTAATACCTATGTAGTTCTGTATTTACTAAAAGTTGATTTCAATTAATGAAAACTTATATTTATGATCATCAAATACTTAACCGAAAGTGACTTAATGTAAGGTGTAGGCATAAAGAATGAATTTATAAATAGAATGTTAACTTCAAGTAAGTTAATGTAGGAAATAGTTGGATTCATCCACAGATAAGGCTGCATAAATGGGACATTAAGAAAAAAATAACCTGAAAATTGAAATCCTTATAGGATTATTGAAATTTTATAATCATTAGCTTAGATATAATACTTTAGTAGAACTTCGTACGTACGTACATCAGTTCGAGTTGCCACACCACATTAGCACAGAGATGCAGTTGTCGATTCAAATCCCGTAGTGGTAGAGGTAGTAAGAGTATAAGCAGTAATCGGAAAGATTAGGGTTTGAAGATGTTATTCACTGAGTATAAACCAGTGAAATAAATTTGGAAAGAGGAAAAAAGGGAAAAGGAGAATTCAGAAGATCAGCATTTGGGAGAACACAAAGAGTTGATGCACCTGTGCCATTGCAAACGATTTTCAGTCATGTCACATTCAAGGTATTTAACCATCGGTTGCTAACATCACGCGGATCCTAATCAGGTAGTCTACACCTACCAACATGATGACTCAATCCACTTGTCAATGATTTCATGGATTTGTGTCATGTTTTGGTTTGGCGGCCCCTCGCTTTCTTCCAATCTACTCCTACACCATAAAGCATCGCACGTCGGCGCGTGTAGTATGTTTAGATAAGATGATAGTGAACAATAATATCAAATCTATTTATTAAATATTTTTCTTTACAATTTCAAGATCATAATAGAAAGAATTCTATTCATAAAAAGAACTTCTTTCTCTCTGAAAGATTATTTTCTATTTTATTTAATAAAAACATTTTAGCCAAATTCTGATCGAACTAAACTTGTGCATAATACACGATCCAGTTCACCTTGTACACAAACAAGATCATATACTACTTCTAATAATGATGCTGTAATAAGCTCAAACATCAATTCAACAAATTATCATCGAGATGAATTACCTATGAATGATATGGAACGTTTTCCAGAGAATGAAGAAAATCCAATAATTGTAATGGATTTAAATCCGATATCAAACAATTCACATGTAAGTCTTTTTTTCCTATAAACTGTTATCATATCAAAGAATCCATTTGTGACGAGTTTTCTGTTTTATAGAAGCTCCCAAATGCCCTGGTACCGTCGAGGGTGAGGACAGTCAGCTCTCCCTCTCGAAATACTTGTACATGGCCCCGCGTATACAACCATTACCACGGAAGTCCTACTCACTGATTTCTCATGACGGGACTGTTGCTTATGAAATTAAGAGAACGAAAAGAGAATATCTGGTTGTTTAACTGGGTTGGTGGATATGAAAACTCATCTGGGGGAGTTGGAAAACCCTGATTCCAAACCAATAGTGCACATGGGCTCCAGGATCATGAGGAAAAGAAAGGGTCTATGAACCAATCGTTGGTCAATGGATACCATGAGACTGCATCTCCTGACGTTGCTCCACTGCCTTTTGGATAAGACCTTTAGGCCGAAGGCTCCGGGAATGGCCCCAAGAAGTGTCACAGCCCACACACAAATCAAGTGACTTGTGTAGCGCATATGTATTCAGTGCCGCTTTGTACCAATGTTTGTGTTCAACCAAACAAAAAATAAATAATCACATTTTAAGAAATGAAATATTTAATGGTGTGAACATCCTATTGGACAATAAGTTAACAAATTTGAATTTCAACAATACAAAGCATTTTCGAAGTGATTATCTACTACTTAAATCAACATTTGAGCATATAGTTTAGTTGATAATACATTTTTGATAAATATATATAAGTATGGAAAACATGACGAGATTATAATTTATGAACGAACGAATCAGATTTAGGATAACAGATCTCAGATTTTGGTGCGATATTCATTCACCCATTTAATCAAATAGAGTTTTCATACTTTAACTGATATCAGTTCATGATGAAAAAAACCATAAATCTAATTCTTAACCCTAAATATCAGTTGTAAATCATACTCTTTATTCTTCACATAGGTTTATAACTCTAATTTAGCTCGAGTAACTAGGTGGACATTCTCAAAGCCACTATAACGTCACGTGTGTTATGTACGCCCAACCACCGACTGCCCCGACGAGCGATGTTTTGTGATGTAGGAGTAGATTGGAAGAAAGCGAGGGGCCGCCAAACCAAAACATGACACAAATCCATGAAATCATTGACAAGTGGATTGAGTCATCATGTTGGTAGGTGTAGACTACCTGATTAGGATCCGCGTGATGTTAGCAACCGATGGTTAAAGACCTTGGATGACATGACTGAAAATCGTTTGCAATAGTGCAGGTGCATCCACTCTCTGTGTTCTCCCAAATTCTAATCTTCTGAATTCTCATTGTCTCTTTTTTTCTCTTTCCAAATTTATTTCACTGCATTATACTCCTTGAATAACATCTCGAAGCCCTAATCTTTCCGATTATTGCCTATACTTTCACTACTTCTATCATAATGGTATTTGAATTAACAATTGTATGTGTGTGCTAATGTGGTATGACGACTCGAACTGATGTACGTACTTACGAAGTTCTACGTTGTTACTGACTAACTTACTGAGTCTAACCATATTAAATTACAGGATTTATTATTAAAATATCAGTCATTATTATTCATAACAGTAATACTTTTGTATGGATATATCAATGCAGAACATTGATATGAAACGTCCTTCTGACAATATAAACATCGGTAATGAATAATTGAATCAACAAAGACTAGTATCATGTACATAACAACGATGTGATTTTTCATAGTAATTAAATATGAAACTCTGAAGATCATTATTCAAAGATACTCACTTTAACGAGATCCATATAAATAAAAACTCTTCTAAATAAGTATACTATAGTGTGCACTACTTACAGATAGATATAAGTAGTATGTAGAAAAAAATCAAATTAGAATGATTATTAGCAAAAGATTAAAATCAAGAAAAGATGAAGATAAACAGAGAGTAATTAAGATAACAACAGTTTCGGGAGAATGATAAAGTACGTAAAAGACAAATCAAGGAAGAAGTTTCAAATCAGATTCAGATTTGTGTAGTAAGAATAGAAGGCCTACAACTTATGTTATTCCTTTTCTAGTATGCTTCTATGAGTGTCTAGTCTTTTCTTGAATGAGTCAATTGAAGGTGTAGTCAGTCAGTCAGTCAGCTACAACGTAGGACCAGGCACATATATGCATCGATTCAAGTTGTCATACCTCATTAGTACAACAAGATAAACATCGGATTCTTAGAAGTAGTAATTTCAGTGGTGGTAATATATAAAAGAAAGATTGTGTATAAGGATATAGTTGTTATTCCCGTATAAGAGTAATGAATGGTAACTTTTAAGATCCATTTATGGACCATTACTATGCGTATATTTTTATCGTATGATTGTTGTGTAATTAAACTATTCATATTCATATCTCTCTTATCATAAGCTTTATTTTAACCTGTAAACTGTTATTATATGATTTTCCATTCTTGAATTATTCCCTGTCTATTAGTCACTGCCCCCTCATTCACAGCCACATCTGGCTAATTCTTGTACAAATGTTGTTTCATATTTTATTAATACGATGTGGTCTGTATGATCGGTTTATGAACTCAGTATGTTTGAAATATAATGGTCCATATTGCAGAGGCTGAGACTGGTGTTCTGGACTTAACTGGCTAGGCTAGGCGGAAAGCAGGACTAATCAGGACTTTAGGCTGCTAGCACATGTTTTACGCGTCCTTGCTCCGATCGATAATTCGCTGCTCCTGATTGGCGGCATTGGGCCATAACAATAATACAGGAAGAAAGAATTAGTTTACGACATTTCGTTGTACTAGTTACAAAAGAGCCCAATCAGAGATATCGTGGTTGTGAGCCATATGTAGCGAAAAAAATATACATTAATCAGATATCGATTCTTGAAATTCGAACATCTAATTGGCGATTACTCGATATTTATCACAAGGATCGATCACTAACTTCTAGTCTGAGCCATGTTAGTAGATGCAGAGTACTTGGTTCGAGTCCATGTGACTACTGTTATTAATGGTTGGAGACTCTGAGTGACATGGGTCACAGTCGATTACAATGGAGTAGGTGCATACACTCTCTGTCTACCCTTAAACTATAAGATTGAAATCGCTTCATATCTTTCTTTCTACGAACTAATTCTCTCTTCCCGTATTATATCCTTATACACAATCTTTCTTTTATATATTACCATCACTGAATTAACTACTTCTATGAATCCGATGTTCATCTCGTTGTTCTAATGAGGTATGGCAACTTCGACCGATGCATATATGTACCTAGTCCTAAGTTGTAGCTAACTGACTGACTGACTGAGGATCGATCAAGAAACAAAAAGAAAGTAAACTTGTAAAGTAAACTTGTTGAAATACTTTGTGCTGAGAATTCTATATTGTACCAAAAATACAATATTGAATAAAGCCATGAATAATAATAATAATAATAATAATAATAATAATAATAATACCTATTATGTATATATTTTTCTACTTTTTATGTTTTAGAGAAAAGGTAAGTCAAATAAAGATTATGATACAACTTATATGAATCAACGTGATACTGATGTTCATGATAACTATATAGCAACAACTGGTCCTAATTATACACAACGAAGACGTTCAACAATACGAAGTTTATTTAAAAGAGAATAAATTCAAATTCTTTCTTCATCTTTTTTTTTACTTTCTATTTTCTTTTCTCTGAAAACGAAAAAGAAGAAAGAGAGAAAAAAGAAAAAAGAAGAAAAAAATATTGTCTATGATAATAAACTTTAAATAAGATCATATTATCAACTTACATTGTTACTATACACATTACTGTGATATTGTATTGTTTCCATAAAACACTTGTACACAAACTTGAATATATACATATACATACATACATACAACATGGATCTATTTCAACTGCTTGCTTATTTTTCTAATATGAGTAACATAAAAGTGTAATGACAAAAGTAACTGACAAACAAAAGGATCAAAACGAAAAAAAAGAGAGAGATCAGTGTTCCCACATTTTATTTTTTTGGGGTGGGGGAAGAGGGGGTGAATGCATATGCAGTACTAAATTAATACAACTTTGGTTTAATTGTTTACAATTGTGTGTATAAAAGAGAAGATTCCGTTGTTTGTTTGTTTTTTTGAAAAGAAAAAGAAAACAGAACAAAAACGAAAAACGAGTTAGCAACTCAGTTGAGTTTGAAATATAAAAGAAAAAAATAAATAAAGGAGCAAATCATGGATAACAATAAGAGGATATATATATATATATGACCATTTTAAAAACAACAACAACAAAACCAAAGAAACTACATTTTCCAATTCTCTATTCCCATCCACATCCGTTACCTTCCATTCATTTATCCATCAAGATCAACTTTTGTAGAATAAAAGAAAAGTTTTTTTTACAGTAAAATCTAAATTCCATTTCTCTTCTTAATTTTCTTTCTTAATTTTTGTATCATATTTGTAATGGATATTATTATGTAGTTTGAGATGTAGTAATGTATATTTTATTTTGATGGAGTTTTGTTCTCTAAGCTGAATGGGTTAGGTCATGGAGCTTTCATTGTTCTTCTGAATGATATCATCAATAGCACAAACTTTAGGTAGAAGTGAAGTGTTTAAATTTCTTCCCATATGGCTCATAGCTTGTCCTGTAGACCTCGATGTTGAACTACATATGGAGAAATTCGAACATTTTATTTCTATCCGAAGTTTGTGCTGCTGCTGATGATGTCATTCAAAAGAACGATGAATGCTCAATGATCAAACTATCCAATTCAGAGAATAAAACTCCGTCAAAATCATTCACCTGAGCTAGAAATCTTTTTCATCATCTCAAAATGCATATTTTATTACTAAACGATTGATATTTGAATTTAGAAAATTGATCCTTAAACTTTATATGACAATCATAAATGTGATAAGATTAAAGACAATAGACAAGAAACAATAAATCTAGAATTCAATGTTACCTTTATGGTTATTAACAAATTGTAGTAATTCTAGTTTAGTTATACCCAGGGTTAGGTAAGTTTCATAATTAGAATCTAGTAATAAGGTGTTCAAGTAGTAAGTGATCGCTTATTGACCATTCAGTAATAAACAAAGTCATACATGTTTTGTCAGTTAGTATATAGTCAGTAATATGATTGCTTGATTTATTGATAGATTATCATGGTTGATATTTCAATAGTTAACTGGTGAATTTTAATACTTCGTGTAATTCATTATATACAGTAATAATATATAATTTGATTATATATACTATTATAGGATTTGACGCCAGTATAGGATTGTGGAAATAATTGAGTTTAGATTGATGTCATGAATGGATCAATGTTAGACCATCATTGAAAACCTGGAAACACTAGATAGCAGTGCGATATCGTGGATTGATTGAACTTAGACATGAACACCGTTAAATGTCAGCTCGGTGTGCGAGGCCGAAAGTCATGGGTTCGAGTCCCCTTGCTGCGAGATCTAAAGTGTGCATTGCTGAGAAGTTTCTCATGTACTTAGAAAATTTAGTAGATAAAAAATAAAAGTAACTTCTTTGAGAAAATGTATAACAAAAATGCAATTAGTATCAGAAAGGGTTTTGTGGAGATTGTAATAATTTCAATAGTTGAGATCATGAGCCGATTGAAGCTAGACAACGATGGAAAACCTTAAAGCATTAAACGGCCGTTTCGTCCTATTGTAGGACTCCTCAGCAGTGCTCATCCACGATAGCGCCTCGCGAGATTCGAACCTAGGACTTATCGGTCTCACATACGAGCGTCTATCCTACAGACCACTGAACCGGCCGGTATTTAATAGTGTTATTGTCTAACTTCAACTAATCCACGAAATTGAGCGACACGTCTACTATTGTCATCAGTCAGTTACTATCTCACAACTGACCCCTCTGAACTCCATTGATCACTGCTCCTCACTAGAACCCCAGGAAATACATCTTGGAGACCGACACCAGTGAGTATATATTGATTAGTGTCAGAATGGGTTTTGTGGAGATTGTAGTAATTTCAATAGTTGAAATCATCAGTCATTTGAAACTACAATTGCTAAGTTGTATGCTTTGTAAAAACTCCTTTTTGTCATAAACTGAAATCAACTAAATAACAAATGAAAACTCGAGAAAACCGAAAATCGAAACTGTAAACTATCGCGTTTCGATTTAACGTTTTCAAAGTAATACTTATGTCCTGTAACCTAAAAGTCAAAACTTTATTCTACAATACGGAGTAGATCACCAACGTAGATGATCTATGTCGAAATGATTGGAGGCCTACTCGAGTTAGACGGGAATGTTGTGACGAACCAGCTAACGTCGAAGTCACACCTCGTGGTCATCACCTTACGTGGATTACTCCATTGACGTACCAAGGTATTATAGATGATTTTAAGACTGTACAACACAGAGGACGTTATTACAGAAATATATCAGTTAAAGTAGATACAAGCGAAAGAAAGACCACCGCCGCATAGGCCAGTCCATGGCGTACGATTAACTGATGCACGTTGGTTGTCTTTGACCTTGACGAGGGATCAATGATCTGTACGATATATAGTGACCAAACTGCTGGATGATTTGGCTAGGGCTCAGTGACGTTTCACTGGCCCTACAACGGCTATGGATAAGTACTATTAAGAAGTCTCATAAAGAATAAAATAGTTTAAATTAGTTTATGTTGAGGATGTTAGATCTCCAAAACTTGGTAAATACCTTATATTTGTAATGCTATTTTAAAATTTTGAATTTCTTGTTTTTGCGCCACAAGCGCTCATTTTCACCTTCATGTTGTATTTCCCACTTGGGAGGATCATAAACGCTATTGGTTCGTTATATCTTTTAGTACGCTATTTTGTAAAACTTCCCAAGGACAATTTTATACTGTATATATACGCTTGATTTGTGCTTGTCGTTATTGTTCATGCTTCTGGTTGCTTGTAGAATATATTCTCTCTCTTCCGAACTTGAACTTCTCTCTCTAGTTAGCGAGACTAAGACGTGTTAGAATAGCTAGCTTATCTGTTATTGTGTCACAAAGTCTTCATTCCGCTCTCAGATTAGGTGAACTGATAATCGCTTCAAACATAACAGTTTCTGAAGAGAATTGTCTGATTGATTAACAGAATTGTAAATGATCGTTAAGAAAAAAACAATCCAAAAACATTTGAGTGAATAACAATGAATATTTCATTATGTACAACGTTAAAGAAATATTCTACCATTTTTCACTCACAAGACATCGATAGAACTAGTGAAGACTCATCTACGTAGATAAAGGTAACGAATACGTCAGTAGGAGAAATAAATAATTTTGTGCATATCGGAAGTGCTTTATAATCGCCTAATATTCTAACCAAGTATGATATCTTCTATGACAATCCTTCGATTTTTCTACTTTAGGCATCACAGTTGATGATGATAATTATAAAATATAAGTGAAATATAATTTTATGTACTTCAGAAAGGGGGTTTCGTGGAGATTGTAGTAATTTAATGATTGAATTCATGAGCCAATTAAAACTAGATCACCATGGAAAACCTGTAAGCAATGGACGGCCGTTTTGTCCTAGTATAGGACTCCTCAGCAGTGCGCACTTATGATCCCGCTCGCAGGATTTGGCTGTAAGCTAGCGATACTACTCAAACGTCCAGATAGAAGTAGGCAGGGCTTGTTTTAATCCTATAGATTATTAATTCCAAAATTGAAAGTTTTAACCACTATTCTGAAGAACGATTACACGAAATAATAATTCATCTGTAGAGTCAATAAAGCAATTAGTAGAGGCCTATAGTTTAAATCACTAAGGTATAAACCACTGAAATTATGGCAATATGATGACAGTTGATTCAACAGAAATAATGTGATATCTTCCTAACATAAGCATAGGACTAAGTTATTGACTTGGATTATTATTTCAGTGATTGAAATGTAAGTAGTACCAAATGTTTTGTTCAGCGTTCTAGTCCGAGTTACTTAAGGTAAGTTATTAAGTGTGATTTAATACGGACTATTTATTCCTACTATCATAAACTAATTCTCAAAGTTGAATTCACGAGTTGATCTCATCTAGACCACCACTGAAAACCTGAACCAAATGTCCTGGGCTTGAGTCCCGCGCACTAAATCATGGATTGGCACTGCTGAGGAGTCCTATAGTAGAACGAAACAGTCATTCAATGCTTCCATGTTTTCAACGGTGAACTAGATTAGATCTACTCGTGAATTCAACTGTGAAAATACTACAATCTTCACAAATCTCCATACTGATAATAAATTAATTTGTTAAATTTATGCAACAGATTTTATCAGTTCACAATTTAACTATTTAAATATTCCCATCAGTTTCTATAGTCATACATCCACATTAATGATTCAAAAAAATGATCAAGTATAAGGCAAATACATCTTGTTCACACCATTGTAACATATGAGTTTAGGATTATTTGTAAAATCCAATCCAATTCATGTTAAATTATCAATGTTGAAACTATTAGTTTGAATAATTCATTATTTGTATTGTTTATTTGAATCTTCCTATTTTGATGTTTAGGATTACAGTTGATCAGTCTCTCTTATTGGTATATGTGAATCCTGTAAGGAATATCTTAAGTCACAAGTATTATAAGTAAAGATTGATAGTGGATAGTAATGGAATCCAGGACAACGCGATGGCAATTGAAGTGAACTGTACTGGGTTCGAGTCCTAGAGTGAATATCAACTTTGGGATACATGTACATCCAACCGACGAATCCTAAATACGACGAAACCTGCATCCTGGATTTCACTGCCTGCCACCACCTATCTTTGAATAACTTGAATAGTTTATCAGTCAAATGAAATTGTGACATTAATTTAAGAAGTGGCCATGTTTAAGGTAAATATGCTACATGAAGTTACGAGATTTACATCACTTTATACAGCACGTCCTCACAATTGATTGATCACTGGGTGGTACACCTTGCTGACGTGTGCCAAGTAGCACAAAACCGAGGTCCAGGTCTTCCTGTCGACTACCTCCAACCACCATCTAACAGCACATGGTATTCCACTAAATACTTGATATGATTTATTATTACACTTATTTTACTCTATACTACTCATTTATCTGGATTGTTAACGACTTACATGTATAACTGAAGAATCTGATGAGAATTTATTGAAAAGAATATCTTTCGTCCATATATCTGTATTTCATGATTGTTACCAACCCTCTTTAAAAGAATTTTAATATCAGTGAGAGAGTTCAAATTAGCTTCTCTTAATACCACAAATCTAGACGACACAGAACCAATTCAGTGACAAGAACAGTCAATAAAAAGCTATTAAAATGAAGTGAAACATATTTTGTCCGCAGTATATTATTTATAATGTCAATATGATTCTACTGTTTACGTACAAACTCTTGTAAATCCAGTTTAATAAGAAGTGATTTGCAATATTTAGTTTGATTTCTATCCTATTCATTTTCTTTCTTCTACATGGTTCCTCATTGCTCCCAAATGACCTGGTACGGCAGAGAGTGGGGAGAGTTCGCTCTCCTTCAAATGCTTTCACATGGCCACGTGTATACAACCACTGCCACGGATGTCCTACTCATTGCCTTCTCGTGATGGGGGTGTTGTCTACGAAATTGAGAGGACCAAAAGCTAATGTCCGACAATTTAACCGGGTTGGTGGACACGGAGGATCCATCTAGGGGAGTTGGAAAACTCTCATTCCAAATCAATGGTGCACATGGACTTCAGTATCCTAAACGAACAAATGGCGTATCAACCAATCGTTGGTCAACGGCTACCATGAGACTGCATCTCCTTACGTTGCTCCACTGCTTTGTGAATCAGACCTTCAGGTCGAAGGCTCTGGGTGTGGTATCCTAAGTAAACCACTTGCTTCGGTTTGGGCATCCGGGCAGTATCCCAGTCCTCACACATATCAAATGAGATATGTGTGGCGCATATGTATTCACAAAGACATAAGCAACCCAAGACAAACAGTA